AACTTTTAACATATTATACTTAATTTATTAGATTTAATATGTTGTTGTATGTAAACTATTATCAATTTAAAGCTACAATTTTTGAACAGTTTGAACAAAATACTTAAACAGTTAATTTAAATATAACATTACAATGTCAACTTAAATATAAATTTCAGTTCCACTTAAAAACCCCAATGAATATTTTGTGAATAGTTAAAGTGATAAATTGTAGTACTAAATGCAAAAACTAAATTATAATCTCAATTTAACTAAAATATTTCCTAAAGATATTTGTATAATCGTTAAAAGTTTTCAAATAAGTAGCTTAAAATAACTTACAATAACAATACTTAAAAATTACTCTATATAAATGATTATATTGTTACCTTTAAAATCAAAAAACAATGTCTGATGTTTTAAATAATTATAATGATAGAAATTAAAACGTTAAGAAAATAAATTTTAAAAAATTAATTAACAATAACAAAAACTATAAATAACATTAAGCCATATATTATATTTAAATTTATTCATGAGTAACTCGCAGGTAGAAGTCATTCAAACGGTTGAGATTATACAATTATAATAGATGTATATATTATCATATAATTCAAAATAATCAATATATTATATCAATTTAGTATACGAATTATTATATCAAATTTAACAACAACGTTATTGTTATATTTAAAAAAAACATATATTTATACAGATTTCAACTATATAGATGTTTCTGCGCAATGCGTGTACATTCGCCTAGTCCTATTTATAATCATATGATATCTTCTATGCAATAAGGAAACAATTAAATGCATGAAAAGGAAACAGGAAAAAAAATCCTAAATCCTAAAACTTACACAAAAACAAACAACTTTTCATTCAAAAAAATAATAATATTCAAAAAAATAAACATAACAAACATAGCCCAAGCCCCAAACATTGGCCCATGTGATAAAGAGGACAGGGTGAACTAATTGTCTAGACTCTAGAGCGGACAAGGTCAAATATCCAAACAAGTATACGGTTAGAAGTATATCCTTTCGGTACATTTTTCTCCACTCTACTCACGTGCTAAGAAAATAAGATCATGTGATGGCACATGTTGGTCCGTTCGTTGAATGCTTAGTGTTAAGTTGTGTGAGGCCCTTGACCTCATTGAAACTAAGCACGGGGCTCTGACCCACGATTACTTTTTTTATTTTTTTTCTTATATATATAAACTTGTCATTACAAATAGATCATCATATACGATTGTAACCCTACACATAAAATGTGTATTGATGTTTATTAATAAAAATATCTTTCTAGTCCCGCCATGGATTAGACGATCATTCTAATCGTGTGAACCATGTAAATTCTTTGCAACTATATGTTTTATGTGATTTATCGATCCTTAACAGCTCATTGGATAAGTTCTTTGCGTGTGGAAAGCTTCTAAAAGACTCACCCTTGAGAGTATGTTTCTTCCTTGTTATCTCCTTTGTATGGACTAAGGTCTAGTACAATGAATGTTGTAATTATGGTTGTCAAAATCGCGATCCTGGTCGTAAGATCGTAGGAACGTACGATCCTACGATCCTAACCAGGTAAATCGATCCCGATCTTACTTTGATCGTTTTTCAGTAAGATCGTTATAGGATCATAAGATCATAGGATCATGACTATTTTTTTAAAACAAAATTCTAATGTTTTTTTATGGACTAACTACGTGGAATACCATTTTGCATTGTTTATCAATAAATGATGTATTGAATATGTATTTTTATGTTTAAACAATTTATTAACGGAATGGTTAACGGATTGGTGAAAATGTATTTTTTTTCATGTATTAAAATGTTTTTGGTAGAATCTTACGAACCGATTCGATCTTACGATCACGATCTTGCAAAGTGAAAAACGATCATATATAAGATCCCGATCTTGACAACTTTGATGTATCTATTTATATTATTATATATGCTAATTTGTTGCCCTCTTCACTAGCTTTGTCAATGAAGTATCATGCATGCCAATCGATCAGGGTGGTCAGGTTGTGTCATTATACAATTTTGAAAGGACTTTTACGTTGATCAATTAACAAACTAATTATCCTGGCAAACTCATCTTCACGGATTATGAGATCCTACTACTTTATTCTACACAATGATTCAAAGCAAATTTCCTAAACTCATATTTTGTTACTTCTAATTGCCCATCCATTCTAGGGTTATAAGAGCTACTAAATAGTAAGTTGGACCTTATCTTATCCAACAATATATATGCCCAAAGTGACTGACATATGTTACATTTATTGGATCATGATGGTTTAAAATAAAATACAAATTAAAACAACCAAAGGAATTAACCAACAAAAAAACATCATGATCAAACATTGGGTCTATGTTCAAAAATTACTACACCAAAATTAAACTATAAGATGGATGATGTGATTCACCTTAAACCGATTTCAAGTATGATTATGACCCAAAGGAGAACCCATCTATTGTTTTACACCACAAAGTACACAATCTTTTGCAAAAGCTTTTCACAAAATTAGCTAGAACACCTTCTTTCCATCTTGCCTTTGTCGAAATCTTGGAGATCTGAAAAACCAAAACCCTAGCTTTGGTGGCTAGCATTTCATAAAGACAAGAAGGGAGGGGAGAGAGAGGAATATTTTTTTTGGTTCATTTGATGGGGAGGAGAAAATGATTACTTTTATCCTTGTGATTGACTTGCCAACCAAGCATATGGATTACAAGATCATTACCATAAATAGTTAATTTCCATAATCAATGTGTCTTGTTCTGAGTCAAGTCCCTAAATTAAATTTGTTTCTAATTAAACCATTATGTTAGTGATGGATAATAAACTACTCTCTTTATTCATTTTTTTTCTAATTAAACCATCATATTAAATATGCAAAATTAACTAGCCTATATATTTATTGTTTTTTTGCCAATTTGAACTTGGATTGTACTTTATGTGCAACCTAATAGGTACATGCGACATTCAGAATGTTAATAACTTATTGTGTCGGTGAACATATATCCAACAAACTCCCTCTTGCATTTAGCACAACAACTATATATTAAAATTGACAATGTTTTGTATCTTTAGCAATACACCACTGCCCAAAATTCAACATATGGTATTTCTGTTGGATAAGGTGTCTAAGTCCATAACTTATTTGGTATATACTTGACCCGACCCGGCATGGTC